CTCTGTTTAAATCGGTGCTCAAATTAAACTCTATTCAAGATGCTTTGTATTCAAACAGTCAGAATTTTCAATTGCAGTTTTAAATTTCAGAAGTCAAGAATAAAGGCTGAAATAAGTAATTCTGTTTATTATACTACGTTACATCTGACTGAATAATAACATGATCCATTATTAAAGTCCTTTAAGTAACTTTTCCATAATTGTTTTCTGGGATCCATAAAAGCTGTGGCCATGAGCTGTTCCTCAAAGCTCCAATCCATGCTTTTGTAGGTATGTTAATATCTCACCCCATAGGAGAGATCACATTATGCACATGCAATAGTCATGGTCGACTTGAATGAGGCCATCAGATGTTCTCCAGATGATCTTGGAATACTTGCTGTGGATCAAAATGGAAGCGTTATGAATGCTAAGAGTCTGTTGTTGGTCAAAATGTAGATGGTGTATTAACTACCAGCCATAAGCTCTGGTCCACACAACTTTCTTCTTGAACTCTGGAAGATATCTTAAGGCTAGTAAAGCACCTGTTGGGAAAGAAATAAGTTAGAGGCTCGTGAATACTGTACATCAATGTTAAAACATAGAAAAATCTAAATGATTCATAGTTTCCTTCACTTAAACTGACAAATCTCAGGTCATGCTATTTGGCTCCTTCCATCTCTTATGGAAAGCCAATGCAGTAACCTTATCTGTTGGCACTATACAGTACTTGAATTTCAACTAAAACTTTTGACCTTAATGTTCATAATATTGTAAAAATATAATTCTTCCATCTGAGAAATATTGCCAGACTGCTTCTTATGCTGTCTTTGAGTGTTGCAGAAAATATATTTAACACATTTGTCTTTTCTAGAAGTGATTATTGCAATTCTATTATTGATTATTACTGAATATCTCTCTGGAATATATAAACACAATATCCACACTGAACAAACTGCAATATGTTGAGAATTCAGCAGCCAGTTAGCTTGCTTTTTATCTCTAGCATAATGTAGATGCCAGATTGATAGGTACATTATCTTTATTCCCAGGAGCTGTTGTTGCTCCCCAAAACTGAATTAGTACTTTTAGTTAAAAAATGTAATTCAAATTTGTTGTACTAAAGCATCATTTATTATACTGTATATCCACTATGCACAAAAAAATTTAACGCTTAGTTTGTACATTTTAATTCTATTGGTGTGGAGTTAAACAAAACACAACCCCCCCAACAATTTTTTTTGTTTACATGTCCATTACATGATATTCGAAAAAAGGAGGTTTACCTTTTACAGTTCTGATGGATCTTTCTGATAAGCCTTGCTTTGGACATTCCAGTATGCTGAAGAACCAGTCTATAAACTAAAGAACAAGTAAAAATATAAGATGTCCTGCTCATTTACCCACGCTGCATTAACAACCAAAGGCAACGATCATTCCAATTATGAGTTAAGGAGCAATAATGAAAACATTTTTACATTGACATTGTTTTTACTTTAATGATTCTTATACTGACATTTATTCTTGTTAACGTAAGAATAACAAATAAAATATCAAAAGTTGAAGGTGTTACTTTCACATCTACTGTAGATGTACTGTTATTGTGACAGGATATTACTGTCTTTTGTTGGCACATTAACTATCCAACACAGCTCACACTGTAGAACAGGACACAAAGTCTAGAGTGATACCTTATGAGTCTGGCCTTTCCATGGCTCTTTGGCCAACAACAGCTGGATACTATATGGAAGACCTTTAGAGCACTGCAAAGCTAACTGCTCATCAGCTGAAGAGTTTCCAAAACGAGCCTGGGGCGAGCTGGGCACTGCATTGTCTTCTTTCCAAGGCAGCCATTTAGCTCCTATTCCGAGTAGCAGTGGCAAGGAATGGTCAGCCCACGACACAACTGCGGCACAGAACAGCTGCAACAAGAAGTCTGTTGCCTAAATAGGAAACAAATGCTTGGTTAGGGAAAAGACAGCCAGCACCAAACATGCTTTACCTTTCCTGTTGTTTTTCACAATTCAGGAACTAAGCATCTGCTCCTGATAGTGAAGGCTTATTTCAATTTGATCACCTTCCTTCAGTTATATTAATTACATTCGTTTTCAAAACATTTTGAATGATCAGAACTGCAATATGACTGTTATATCTTTTATGGATGGCCTTTCATGCCCTGTTTTCTGAACCAGATTCAGACAACATCCATCTCCTTTTTACATAACTCTGCTATTAGGATGACAACAACACAAAATAAATACTGCAGAAGACTTGCTTTGTTAGGCTGTAGATGGGCAAATTAAAAGCACTAATATATTTATAAATTACATATCAACCTCTCAGAATAAGATCTTTTGAGTTAATACACACATTTGGATTATTGCAATGATGCAACATTTTGGGTTTACATTACTGCTGTCATAGAGTCATTAGCAAACGCACTGCAACCAAATTACATTTTAACACCCAGTGGTATCAAGGCATGCATACTTATTTTATACAACTGTGTATAACGCATTCAGATCCTATGGGGCAACTCCAAATACTCTCACTAGTAGACTTTGGATGCGTTTATGGATAGAATCACAGAATGATCTGGCCTACATGAGGAATTGGGTGCTGTTCCGGTTATACCTGTTTAACATCTCCATTCTCCACAGGGGTTGACCCATAAGCAACATTTCTGATGTGACCCATTAACTCCAAAAGCCATTCCATTCTTTTAAGAACACCTAGGATAAAAAAAAGGTCATAACAATGTTATGACTGTGTAAGGATCAAACAGGGGGTTAAAAGGCTGTCTTACAGGCCAAATTAGAACTGGCTACAATCCAGTGGAACAGGGGCTGCGTAGATGACATCTGATCCACGGTTATAGAACCTTGGTGCACAAAGAGTGGAACAGCATTTCTGCATATACATTGTAACTTTACAGTGCTCACACTGAACAACACAAGTTCAACTGTCATGCCCCAACTGAAGGAAACAGGGAGGGCAGAGGGACTTCGAAGGTGGAGATGACCCATGGAAAGAACGACAGGTTGGGTTGCAGGGAGATCAGTGGACCATCTCCTATGAAAATGGGACTGACAGACCTACGCACTGACAGAGCATACAAGGCGCTCAAGCACATTTCTGAGCGCATACATTATTGTGGGAAAATATACTGTATGTCAGGGTTACATACAGTATAAAGGAAACTCCCTGAATGTTGTGTAGTTGAAGAGAAGTGGAGAAATTTAAATTTAAAGGAATGGAAAGTCTATGTTTGACTTGTACAACAGGTAGATGTTGTCAAAGAGCAACAGCAATAACTGTACAAATAAAGTTAGTTTTAACATCAATGTATTTACTGCTTTACACAGTCCTACTGTTCCAACAGTTACATAAGACTGAGGAAGTACCCATGGACTGGGGATCTGCTAATGTACAGTACTACCCATTTATAAAAAGGATGGGAAAACTGAATCAAGCAAGTATATATCAATTAATTTGGCTTATTTTACCTATAAGGTTATGGAAACAATTACTAGAACTAAATCTTATTTCAATTTTTGCTAATAACTATCCTATCACAGGGTTCCCACTCATTTTTATCAACAAAATTCCAAAACTTTTCCATGACTTTTCCATAACTTCTTAAACAGAGGTATGCCATTATAACAAACACCAAAACTAAGAAATACTATAAACAAACAACACTAGATCATGGTTGTGTCTGCTATTCTGATAAGTTACACAAGATATGGCTTTTGCCCATTTGAATCGCATCACATCTGGCCCACCATAACAAATGAGTTTGTCTCCTCTAATATAGGTGAACATAAATGCTTATCTGTGTGAGTAACAATGGTGAGGTGGTCTGGAATGTCTCTGTGTACTTCCCCACCAGTTGCTTGGCAAATGTAGATAAGAAAAAAGTGTTACACTAATTTTCCAAGAGGAAACCAAAGGCAATATTACTTCTGGGGCAATGCCATGGGATCCAGCGGTTCCGATCCTTACCCGTGTTAGGACTGGCTGCGAGGCGTGACTGATAGAAACTCCGCACCAGCAGCGAGCTGACTGCCTCTTGATGACAACTTCCTATCGCAGCCGCAATTACATCATTAAGACCCAGAAGCGGGACCCTGCCCTGAGAGACCAGGTATGCCATGGTAAAGCCTGTCTTCACAAGGTTAGCCTGCAACAGACAGATCAGCTTAGCAACTTGACACCAGGTAAACTGAATCGGGCTTCCACCTTTTTTTTCATCCTGACTACACAGCTGCCATTCACAGTGCTAGTACATCAGAACATTTACAATTCTTTGTTCTTTGCAAGAAGAGAGACATAACTACTGCTGTACAGTATATGTAGAAAGGTAGATAGCTAGACAAACATAACCATTCAAACAGATGTGTAGGTAAAGAAATGGCTAAAGAGAAAAACAAATTAAGTGAACAAGATGCTGCATATCATTGGTGAAGGAGGGGAGTCCCCATTACCTGTAAAGCGCTTTGAGTGGAGTGTCCAGAAAAGTGCTATATAAGCTATAAGTGTAAGCAATTATTCATTGTTACTATCCCATGAAACACAATGTTTTTTCATTGTAACTTGCTAGTCATAACTCTTTCATTTTTATCAATGTCAAATACACCGACAGAGGAAAATTTGTCACTATGTACCAGAAAATAATTTCAACAAAGTCTTACTTTGTTGTAACTTCCTGGATTGAACAGAGTTCAAACCATTGGAGGAAACCTTTCATTCCTTATTAAATTAACTGAATATGGAATTTGCTTAATTAAGTGTGTTTTCAATTTCCAATAAAAAAAAACTTTTATACTTTTATACTTATACTTACTTAAAATGTAATAAAAACTGTTTTTTTGGAAAACTTGTGAGCACAAACATTTCAGATCTCAAAACCTTTGACAGAGGCGTAAATGGAAAATAATTACAGGTTCAGATGACGTTATGGTTTACCTTAGTGACTCGAGTTATCCTGTCAATCTCTGTGTCTTCCATTTCTGACAGGCATGTAGCAATCCTCACGTAGAGTTCTACCTCATCGTCCTGTGAAAATAACAGAAAAATAATAATGTGAAACTGACCAATGTTAAAGAACAAATGCAAGCATTTAAAGTTAATAGCAATATAATTGCTGTGTAAAACTTTAAGCCAGTTTTTATTGTGCTACTCTTTTCATCCTTCTTGTATGATGAAGATTTGTTGATCACTTTTTGATCAGCCATTTTCCTTTAAGATGATAGTTAATTCTGACAGAACTGTAAATTAAGGCAAAAACGTTAGTTTAGAAAATAACATGGTTTGAGCTCAAATGTATTCATCCCCTTCTGTGATATCAACATTGAGATAGACAAAAGTCATATTACCTTAAACAGTAAATGTAACTGAAATAAGAAATTATAACTGCAATGGAATGCTCAAGGATAGATGAATGCTATTCCTGATTTTTTTTTTGTTCAATTTGGTTTATACTGTACCTGAATTTTCAAAAGACACTCTCAAAATGAGACTTTGGAATATAATCTGTATATATCTATTTGTTTAGGCACTTAAAAAATTAGAAAACAACATAACTGACCAATCAAAATTCAAGACAGCTTTGCTCTTCTTGCCTGTCACAGCCCATTGCAAGCATCATCTATGTTTTAGATATCGTACACATAAGTGTTTCTGAAGAATTCTAAAATTCCTCAGGGAATACCTGAACTTCATCTGGCAGGAGCATGAAAATTCTCTCTGTGGTGGAACGTAGCACACCCCAGCAGAACTGTGTGGGATTTGGGAGCTTCATGGCTTGTTCCAGCCCCTCCAGGACGGCCACACACAGGTCAGGGCTCTGCTGCCGGCTGCTTGCTGTGAGGTGCTGTACTCCAAGCACCTCCACAAATGACTGCAGCTTGTCATCGGGCACATGCTTCATCCACACAGACACTGATTTGTACAGATAGGCTCTTGTTTTGAGCTAGAAAAGAAGCCAAATTAACAAACACTTTCAAATGATCTTTTCTCTCATAAACATTGTTGTTCTTTTTTTCATAATTGGTGAAATGCCACATTTCACCATTGGGGCACAAAAGATTTAGACACAAAAGGTTAGTGTTTCACTAACTGCATTTTTATTTTTCTTATTTTTAGCAACTTACAGAGCAAGGGGTTTAGCCCAGGTTATGAAGGCCCCATTCTAGAAGATATTATATGTTACCATTAAATCACAATTTCATTATGTTCAATTAGGCAGATATTTTTTAATTAAGTAGCTGAGACACCATTTGAGAAACCAAATCAACCTTCAAGGACCAGAGTTCTCTTAAGTGAACAGATTACTTGCTTATTCATCAATGTGTTTCCAATTGCTATGCATCTAACTGAACTGGTCAAGGACAAGGGTTGGAGACCACTGCTGTAGAGTGTCTCAGTTTTTAAATCATTGGGTACTGTATGTCTTCATCTAGTCCTCAGCATAAAAAAAGGCACACCTTTTTATCGGTTTTATTTCAACGACCTTTGTCACCAGTGTTATGCATTAACATTCTACATTTTATAGTCTGGATAATTAATCAAAGCTCTGCAAATGTACTGTATGTGAACCATCATAAGATATCATCTGCTTTTATCGCGGCCACGTTCACCAACTTTAAATAAATGTAAAAAAATGCTAATTAATTATACATAAAAAATGTATGTATAAGTTGTTTTTTTAGGTGTTTACAATTTTTCCGTTCATTTAAGTTATTTTTTAAATTTGCAAAAGGTCTTGAGGAGATGGTATACTCTGAAAGCTGTGCTCCTCCTCTGCAAACTTCAATCTCGACATCTGTACAACACAGTCTGAGCGAAAG